GCCAAGCTGAATTTTCAGCATCATTACTCCAGTCTTCAGTGTCACATGATTCTTCAGAAATCGTTCTAATATGCTGATTTGCTGCTCAAGAAACATTTATTTTTATTATCAATATTGAAAACAGTTGTGCTGCTTAATATTTTTGTAGAAAACATGAAACATGATGAAATGTCTTCTATTATGATGTCTTAATTTCTTATTAAAAATAATTCATGTCTTCATTAAAAAAATAATAAACCTTATATGAGCCAGAAATTATTAACATTCCAAACCCCAGAAATTTTGACATAGGTGCTCCCTGTATAGAGAACAATGTTTCTCTCAAAATGCTGTGCCAGGATCATTAGATGAGCAGCCAAGTAATCAAGATGTTTTGCTGAATTGTCTGCAGCTAAAAATGTGTAAGGCTATTCATAGAACTTAATGCAACATTAACAATTATCAGCAGAACATCTAAGAAAAATTCCCACAATCAACAATACCCTATTCATATTGCTGTCAGCAAGTATTTTTGAAGAAAACTATGCCAAGAGCAAACTTTTGTAGTATTACGTCTTTAGAGAATTTTACTAAAATTAATAAGAAATAGTGTGTTACATGAAGTCATCACAGTTTTTTATTCCTATACAAAAGTACACAGAAATAAGTTAATAATGTGATACAGAAGTATACATTGCCAAAAAGAATTATATAAAAATGCCTAATCAACTTTCCCCAAATAGTTAGTTTCTAATGGGAGTCTCAAACCCATTTCATTGTAGGAAGTACACTGATCATACACTCTCAGAAAAAAAGGTACAAAAGCTGTCACTGGGGCAGTACCTTTTCAAAAGGTACACTTTTGTACCTTTTAGGTACTAATATGTACACTTTAGGTACTAATATGTACCTTTAAGGTACCAGTATGGACTGTTTAGGTACAAAGGTGTGCCTTTTGAAAAGGGACTGCCCCAGTGACAGATTTTGTACCTTTTTTTCTGAGAGTGTACCCAGAGTTAAAATAATCAATTAATATTCTTTTAGACTGCTCACATGAAGACCATTCATTCACACTTCTTCTATAAATACCAGACATCTCTTTATGAAGAGCAGCAAAGAGAGTGACCAACCTGATCAACACCCATGGGAGATACCTTGAATGTATGGTCAGAGTTTAATGGTCAGCTCTATTGATAGAGTGTGAATTTTCTAGAAAGCAACTTTGCAGCCTACCTCTCTGTGGTGGTACCAGCAGGTGCCGGCAGTCATCAGCAGTCAGAGAGATGAGTGCGAGGAGGTGAGTGTTATGAACTGTCTGTGTTATAACAGTCTGATCCTGATCTTGTCTTGGTAGTAAGTAACCTTGGCAACAGAAAACCTGAAGGAGAAAGAGGAGAGGAGAGACTGATACTGGTTCAGATATAGTCTGATGGTCACGTAGCGTTTCAGAGAGCCAGATGCTGGAGAGTGTTTCACGTGTTGGCCTGGAGGTGAGAGGGCAGATATTATCTAGGCAGGATGTTAAAGTGGAGCACAGAGTGTAAGTATCATTAAAAATCAAGTTGTAATAATAAATTAAATGACAATTAATAAATTAAATGAAAGTCTCACACAGGAGGTTGGTTCTGTTAATTGATTAAAATTGAATCCAAAAATTAAATGGTAAAATTTCTATACATTGTTTATTATATCTATGGGTATATTTATTAATTATATTTTATATTTATTATTGTTTATTTATAATTATTGTGTTATAATTTCTATTTTATATTACATAATATTTCTTATTTAATTTAGTTACATTTCTACATTGTTGTAGCAATGTAGCAAAATCTGTAAAAAAAAAATTTAAATAAAAATGTATATACAGTACATGTACTATTTTGTGATTTAAGTGTTCTGTGATTAATAAATGGCTTATGTTTAAAGGAAGGTTTTTTATTTTTTTTGTCGGCATTGAAAATCCACTAGAGACAAACTATATACATTTTCCATATATCCAAACACAAGTAGCATTAGAATTGGGAGAATTAAATAATAGATACACATGCTGTTATTCATACAGATAACAGTTTCGGTTATTAATCAGTTGCTTTAGCATTGGCTGATTTAATCAACTCCAGGGGTTAAATAATAGATTCATCTATCAAAGTTCAACTGAAGACAGCTCAAAATTCCGTTTCATTTTGAGAACAAGTGATATGCCCAGGATTAAGTTGCCCTAGGCGATAAATAAATCCCTCTTTCTCTCTCCCTTTACTAGGACTGCCACCATATGTCATTCCAATATGGGACACACACAGCTGGTATCCCAAAATATGCTCCACAACACCCTGGCATCTATGGCAAGCCAATTTAACATGTATTCCTTTAAACTAGCATTTATCTCTAAATTATTAATAAGTAAAACCATAGTGACCTTTTCAGTTTCACTAGTACTATTACTATTAAAAATTGATATTATAGTTTACCAAATGCGACTATCAAATTATCAAAATTTGAATTTTAAAAAATTTAATCTATCAAAATATATCAAATTAATCACAATTATTTATTCATTACTTACTAGTATTTAATAATTTGCTATAAGTCTCTATTCCAATAGTGACAAATAACTATTAAAAAAATATTGCAAATATTTGTCAAAAAGTCATTCAGATGTCAATTATTCACTTCCAACTATTAGGCCTATATTACAGTTCTTGCTGGTAACTATTCCAGTTTTACATTTTAGTAGGTATTAAAACTTATTTATGAGACACTAGTATCTATCCCATATGTGATTTAAAAAAAAACTTTCATATGTAATATTTAATGACCAGTCACAATGGCAGCAAATATAATACATATCTATTTCAATAATTTACTAATTTTAAATAGCCATTTTAAAGTTGAATTAAAAATCTTACAAGTAGCCTATGATTAAAATTTTACTAGTAGCAATTTGAATACACAGCATTTATTAAATAGGTGCATATTTAATTTGTACTAGGAAAACATAACCAGGGCCGTAGCTGGGGTTTGCAGGGCCCCAGTGCAGGTTGTACCCGTGGGCCCTGTTTGAAATCATGTAGTACAAATAAATAAATAGAACAAAGATTAGAACAAATTAAACCATGTTTTGTTTTTTTCAAGGTTGTTCAAGTACAGAAACAGAATAATAAAATGTAAAATATTATTGCATAGTCCACACTGTATAAATTAAATATAGATTAATTCTTGTTAAAACTACAAAGTAATTCAGTCAAGAGCAGTGAGTGATTTCTCTCTTTTATTTTCTTGGATTAACATTATGGACTGGCAGCTAGTAAATTAGGCACGGTCACTTTAAGAGACAATACATCCAATATAATGATACACATCCGATTTCTTTCTCAACTGCTTATGTTCTTTTAAAACATAACTAACAGTTTTTTGAAGATACTTTCCAAGACAGGTATGTTGACATATTTTTGTATGTATTTGTCCGTTCAAGCGCAAGAGGCAAAACTCAATTCGGTGTTCAAGGGCTGTGAGACGTGGCTTTCTGTGCACAGAACACAGCGCGCGGGGGCTGAATTAAGCTCTTTTGCATCTTTTTGTGCTTGCATGTTTATATTGATGAGGTGTATTTGTTCGTTCAATTGAAAGGAGATGCAAAGTAGAACTCAATTCAGTGTCTGCGTATCTGAGATGTGGCTCTCTGTGTGCGCAGCACACACAACACGCAAGTACTTAGTTGAGTTCTTTCTACTTGTGTTTCAATGCTTTAAAATATCTTGAATGTTTTAATTGTCAGGCTTAGATGATAAGCTTTCGTGACAATGCGCAGCAGTGGCCCATCAACTGTCCAGATCGTATTTCTTGCCGGTCTAGGGCAGTTGCCAGGGGCCCCCCCCACAGCTGTGGGCCCCTATAATCATCACCACCTTTTCACCCCACTAGCGACGGCCCTGAACATAACTTTATGAATAGTTAAATTCAAGTAACTACAGAAAAATAAATAGTTCAATGAAAATACATTCTATTCGCTATTGAATTTTTTTATAGTAATTTAAAAAATACTGTAGTGTACCGCAGGGCTGGACTGGGACGCAATTTCAGGTTGGGAAATCTCACACTCATCCAGGCCACACAGAAAAAGAGGGGCCAAAATTTTTAGTATTAGAATTTTTCAACAAATATATTGTACTAATTTTGACATTTAGGCACTTTAGAAATTGTGTTCTAATACACTACCAGTTAAAAGGTTTTGATCAGTAAGATTTGTAATGTTTTTTAAAGAAGCCTCTTCTGCTCACCACGCCTGCATTTATTTGATCCAAAATACAGCAAAAAAAGCAATATTGTGAAATATTTTTATTATTTAATATGACTGATTTCTAATTGAATATATATTAAAATGTAATTGTATTATCATTTCTCCAGTCTTCAGTGTCACATGATTCTTCAGAAATCATTCTAATATGCTGAGCCTATAGCTAATACTCAACTAGGTTAATAAAGACGAAACTATCTAGCGTATTTATACTGATGAAACTGACCTGCACTTGAAGCCCTGAACAGGTCAGTGATGTAGCTACATTTCACTGCTTTTTCTGGCCGCTTCCTCTCTTCCATCGAGTCCCGCGCATCGGTTCTGTTCAGAAGCGTTTGACGGAAGCGCGGAACAACGTGAGCCGATTCCTATAGCGCAGCGCTGCCAGTCAAGACTAACCGATTTATGATTTATTATCGATTTATTATCGAATGAAAAAATCGGAAATGATCACTTTGGTACATTGAGAAAGCATAAATATAAAATATTAATAATAACTAAAAAAAAAACTAAAAAAAACAGGGCAGCGGGCCAAATCAGCCTCCAGGCCACCGGGAATTCTCCCTGTGCTCCCGATGGCCAGTCCGGGCCTGCTGTAACGTAAAAATATCATAGTTAGTGTAAAGGATAAATGTTAAATCAGCTTGCCATGTGACGTCATGCGTTTGGATTGCTCCACACAGGCCTCTGTTGGATCCTCCAGGAAAAGTAGGCTACTAAAATGAAACCGACAGAGAACTAAAAAAGTACTTCACTAGTGTATTAGGTTAGCCACAAACCTAAAGCGAACAGAGCATGCTGATAGTGTTTACTTAAGCGTGTGACTGTTAGAAGAAAAGATCTCGGTTAAATCAGCCGAGGCGACTTGCAGTATTCGCATGATCTAATAAACAATGTAAACTGGATGTTATGTTGCTCACCGATAAAGTAAACTATATAGGCGACTCGTTTATGTTTTCTTTAATGTCTAGAGAGTTTATTTATAATTTTTAACAGTTTCATTAATATATACTACTTTGTGGTAAGTGCACGGTGCGTCTGAGATAGCATTAACTGAACTTTACAATTGAAACATAGATATACCAGACGCAAGGACGCAGCGCGCCGGTTCATTTCATGAGCTGATTTCATTTTGCAGATGAAAACGAGGCGAGGCGAAGCAGATGCTCGGTAGACTGGGAGTCTGCAGCGTTTTCAAGAGGTACGGGAAATCGTTAATGTCCTATTGTTTCAGTATCCCAATAAACACAGGACACACGTTACCATAGATGAGTTGTTGTTATCGCAAACTCCCATGAGCGTGACGCTCATGCGCGGCAGTGTCGTGCTTTTGCCGGTTGATGTAACTTTGCGATGTTACATTGGCAGTAACAGTAGCCTATATGTCGCAGATGAATGGGTTTTATAAGATAAACGCATTCTCGTACGGGTGATTCATCGGCCTAACAATCCCCGGCTTTGAGTGCGAGTTTTCACGGATTGCAGTGCAATCCAAGGCGGTGAGGTTGGACATTTCTCTGGTTGCAAACTTGCACATGTGTTTGAATGTAGTTCAGTGCAGTGATCAGAGTAAAAGTCACAGGTGAAAAATCAATTTTAAGATGCTATTTGTTTTGTTACATGATAGCTAGTCATTATCTGATCCAAAGACCAGCAACAAACAAACCAGCAACTAGTTGGTTATATTAAGGTTGTCATGGGGGGCATGATAACTGATCAGCTGGCTATGACCAGTTAGAAACCAGCTACTGTCTTAAACTGGACTATCCTGCACAGTTTCAAAGGACGTGTTTGTGTTTTAATATTTAAGGTTAGAGCCTTTCTTATTGTGTTTACAGCATTTGTTGCCCTCTTATATTGTTGTGAGGTTTATTTGCTTTGTTTTCATAAACTTATAATAACAAACACTCCTCAGCACTTGGATACACAGGACATTGTCCAGCGGACACCAGATGGCTCAAATGAGAAGTTGATCATTACACAACATTTCCTATATTATTTTCATGGACAGACTCTGTAGATAAAGGATTGTGGATTAAGTGTTGGGGACAATGGCTATTGTACCAGTGGGAGACTTGAGAGAGGAGCGAATACATTGCGAGTGCTGTGCACCTGTGGGAATTATATGTATGTGCGAGAGAGAAATGCAATTCAACTAAGGAACACTGGAATTCCCCTTTCGGCTGAGAATGGTTGCCTTTTCCTGCTTTTTAACTTAGCACCTATTGTTATCTTGGAAACCATGCATTGCCAGTGGAAACACAACAACCTGTTTTGTGTAGTTAGAGTTATTGCATTTTTACCAGCTTGGACAGCACTGCTTAGGGCCGTAACTCTTAAGTTTGTGGTCACGTGTTCAGAATGCACATGTAAAATAAAACGCTTAGAAATTAGAAAAGTTACACAACAGTGACATCACACTTATTCTGTGCTGTCCTTGTAGAAGCCTGGTATGTCAGGCCCCAACTGGCTGCCTCCAGGAGCCCTCGGTAGCCCAGATAGAGCCACAACACCAATGTCACACTCTGGCCCCGCTCTCTACAGACCTCCCAAGAAAGGTCTGTCTGACCAGAGGCCCAAATATAACATGTATGACCAGAATGGTGGAACGGGAGGAAATGGTATGCCTATAAGATATATGGCTACTGGACCTTCAGGTAAGAGCCCTGTAACGGTAAAATTTAAACCTTTCAGTGCATGTTTATGCATTATGCTCTGAGAAAATTGTTTTATTCTGTTGATACCTGCGAAAAGGATTTTGCTGAAGTTTATCCAAGTAGTTTAGAATTAAATATCTTAGTTATATTACACCAGCCTGCATCATATTTGCTGAATGAAATCCAATTCTTGATTCTTACCAATTTTGAGATGCTGATTCCAAAAATTGTGTTTTTTGACAAAATTGAGTTTTGCTCAAGCATGTCACACTTTCTCACAAAACAACTATTCAACTACTATTTGTAAGGTGAAGAAGTCTTGCATTATCGCTTAATCGCCAAAAAAAAAAAAACGCCACAAAGACATAATTCCTAACTTCCTGTGAGCCAGGTTACAAATTTGTTCAATTCTCAGCCTATTTTCACATGTATCATGATTCTGAAGACATTAGTTTATGCCTAATCCTGATTTCAAGGTTAGAATTATGGCCAGTGACAGAAGAAAGTGCAGACATGACCCAGATGTTTTCTGCTACCTCTGTGCATGCGTTACTACATCCAAACAGCGATAGAAAATTACCGATTTTGTGGGAGGGTAAAAAAGCTTAATTTGGTTTTGACATTAAATGTATTTTGCAGATTGTTAGTTTAGTATTAAATACTTAAATAATGTTGAATACTTCTTTTTGGCTGCTTTGAAACAATCTGAAAAATCTCCATTTTGAAAAAAAAAAAAAAAACTGTAAGTGATAGTACATTTTATTGATATTTTTGGACGCAGCATCATCAAAATAGGAAATATTACTCCTCCTTTACAAACCAGCAGAATTTGTTTCAAGATGCAGGACAGTGTTATTAAATATCATATTAATATCGTATTTGGTTTATATTTTACAATTAAATAACTGAACTGTAGAATCTGGCATTGCATAAATAAACAAACATATGCATTATGCCTTTCCCAAATGGTCCAGTATGTGACATGATTCTTGTTTAAAATTTAAAATTGTCAACCTCACAAACACAGTTAATATTTTATATGAACCTCATTATATTATCTGTTTCATTGAATTTAATCTTAAAGAATCTAATGCTGGAATACTATTTGACAGTTTGTGCTTCGTCATCTGAACTGATGTTTATGTGCTCAGGTGGAACCATGAATCACCAGCATCAAGATGATCGCTCAGGGTCTACTACCTACAACCCCTTGACTCCCCAGTTAAGAGACCGATACTATGCTCCAGGCCAGGGGCCCAAAGAAGACCACCACACATGGAACCCCCGCATGGCCAGCCATGAACTTCACGTCAGTGACATCCACATTTTCATTTCTCTGCAAGACTGTGTTGCTCAAAACTGGATTGAAAGATGATTCAATTAGTTAATTATTCTTTAAATGTGCCTAAGGAAAAGGGAAAAAAGGGTAGTCTTACCAAAAATGAAAGTCTGTCATCATTTACTTGCCCTCATGTCCTTCCAAACCTGTATGACTTACTTTCTTCTGCAGAACACAAAAGAAGATACTTTAAAGAATGTTGGTAACCATTCAGTTCCCTTTGGCTTCTAATATACTGTTTGTCCATATAATGGAATTCACTGGGAAGCATAAAGGTTTGGAATGATGTGAGGATGTTTAAATGATGACAGAATTTTTGGTTGACATTTTTGGTTGACCTATCCCTTTAAATCTGTATACGTGAATGTATCATAATGTGAGGTTTTTTTGTGGCTGTTGTTTGCTCAGAATCGGGGATCAGAGAAGCACATCTCTACTATTGATGCAGAGATAGACTCTCTTACATGCATGCTGGCTGACCTGGACAGTCACCCTCAGAGCACAAGCACACAGGTACAACACACCAATACTGCTTTATACAAGTGCCAGGACAATAAATGCTTTCGAGTATATTGATGAGTAAATGTGTTTGTTAAGGATAGAATACACTACACAACTTTAAAAAATCTGAACAAACATTATACACTTGCTGACTTTGTAAGTAGTTAGAGAGAAAACCTGGGCATCATAGTCTGAAAGACTGAGAATCACACACTGCCAGACTTTAGTCATTATAAACAGACACAAAAAAAACTCACACAGTTTAATTGCAGCCGTATGACAAATGAAAACAGTATTTGTTGGAAAAACGAGTCTGTGTCCATCATTAGTGGTCAACCAATATATTGCTAAGCTAATATAGCAGCCAATATTTGGCATTTTCTTTTCATTTTCGGCATTAGACATTAAGTTTTTCTCTTTAGCCGATGTGTTGTAAGCAGGACTTTTATTTTGGCAGCACATCTTCAATCGTTTACTGTCTCTGTCTAATTAATTATTAAAGGGGTCATATGATGTTGCTAAAAAGAACATTATTTTGTGTATTTGGTGTAATGAAATGTGTTTATGCGGTTTAATGTTAAAAAAACACATTATTTTCCACATACTGTACATTATTGTTTCTCCTCTATGCCCCGCCTTTCTGAAACGCGTCAATTTTTACAAAGCTCATTGTTCTGAAAAGCAAGGTGTGGTCGACAAATATGAAAGAAGTCAGTTTCGGCCCGGAACAACCTTTTGTACAGTGGAAATACACGGAACGGTTCGAGAACGGACACAAACCGGGAACCCGTACCGCGACCTCTGTTCTCTGTGCTCGTGCTTGCACTTCGTGTGCGCTGCACGCAAACAGGGCGCAAGTTCGTTCTGTTCCTGCACTTAAATAATTTTTAATCACATTAAAATGCGAACGCAGGAATCGTTAAGCAGAATCGAAATACACGCGTCTTATCGAATACTCGGTTCTTGGAAATTTGGAACCGGTTCTAAAATGGAACCGGTTTTCGATACCC